TTTATAGTAATGTTTAGATAGGTAAAATGCCTACTACTGTTGGAGATGCTCTATTTGAATTGTACTTTCTATTTTTCTTTTTTTTTTAAGATCCTGGTTTACCAAATTTTGAAATGATCAATTTTCCAAATTGAAAGTATGGATACCAAAAGTTAAAAGGGCAACCTTCTTTTCTTTTCTTTTTAAATAAATCATGCTAATCTTTTTTTAAAAATTTTATCTACTTTTTTTTTTTTAATACAAAAATGACGTACAAGCTAAAATACAAAATATCTCCAATGTTATTAGGCATTTTACTTATTTAAAAGTTACTATAATCTATATTTTTTATTTTACCTATTCACTTTTTCATTTTTTCACTTTAATCGTACTTTTTATTTTAGCGATTCATCTAAATATTATTCACAAAATGAAAATATCACATCAACAATAAAGATAGAAATAAAAAAAATCATAGCAATCAAATAAATTTTGCTGAACTTAGCTAGCTATATTTAGTTAGTAAATATGAGTTGAGATAAAATGTCTAATGATATAATTATTATATTAAAGTTGAAAAAATATGAATTAGAGCATCCACATTAGCCTCACCAAATGTAATTTTTAGTTAAATATAGTTAGTAAATCATAAAATTCATGTTCCATCAGTTTCAACAAATTATTTCTAAATTAATTTTTGGTTAATTTTGTTTCAATACCTCAACCAATTTGTTGAAGTACTAATCATTAGTTAAGCAATGATTTATCATTTTTTTGATAGATTTGACCTCCTTTAATTTCTTAACTACTATTCATTGGAAAGATATTTAAATACAAAAAATATTAAAAATAAATATTTTAATAAAATAGAATTTTAAACTAGAGAGTTTGATGGAATGTATAAAAAAAGACTAGCTTTTAGATTATAATTTAATTCAAAATTTATTGAAATTGATGTGAATGCTTTTATACTAAGGTCTATTTTGATAATTAAGAAAAAAGTTAATTTATTAACTTATTTAGATTACATTACCTCTTTATTTTATTTATTTAAAAAAAATTTAAAATTAATTTTTTCCCTACTTCTCAAAAACAGTACTGATAGCACGTGTTGTTGAAGATTGATTAGCCAGCCCCACATCAATTATCAATCATGTTTGTTGTAATTTTTTACAAAATAAAAGTGATAATCAAAAAGTTGAATTAAAAGTATCTCCTTTTTAGTTTTTTAAATTTTTTTTATCTAATAAATTATAAACAAAAATTATACTAAATATTATGGCCTAGATTCCTAAAATAAAAATAAAAATAAAAATAAAAAAAGCTTTTAGACTATACGAAACATTACTTGAATTGGTTTCAGCCCATGAGGTGGCACAAGAATCGTCATTTATTTATTTATTTATTTTTTCTCTTGTGACAAGCCAACCAAACAAAAAATATAAAAATTTAAATGATACTATGATATTCACACCTTTTTTTAATTAAATTTTCAAAAATTTTGTTTTCTTTTCTCTGTTTTTTCTACTACCATACCACTAGACTAAGGCTATATTTGGAAATAGATTAAATTAATCAAAAAATCAAAAATTAATAAATAAATAAAAAAATCAACCTACTTTCATACTTTCTTACATGTTTTTTTATAAAAAATTATTTAAAAAATTCAATTTTCAAACGAATTATAAATCAGTCCATAAACCCACATAATATAGTTGGCTCCATGTCATCATCGGTCACATGATTAAGTATAGTCATACACGTGGCCGGTACACGTTGCAACGATTTGCAGGTGACCCCCATTGCAACTGATAAAATATCACGTGATATAAAATCCATGAAAATAAAAAATAGTTATAAATTAATTAATTAAAAGTAACGTCTCTATTGGTTTAAAAGTAACGTCTCTAAAACACTTTATATATTGAAATTTATTTACACTTTATACTATTGAAGTTTAAAAGCGACTTACCATTTTTGGTGAGCTCATTACATTTTTTTTAATATAGAGTCAACAAATTTGAATGAATTATATTTTATTTATATACTGTTTACACTAAAAAAATAGTAATGTTTTCAATTTTCAATTTATTATCTATACAAAGCCTGTTTTTATTTATATTTACAAAAATAAAAACAGTTTGCATGGTTAGTTTTTTTATTTTTTTTTTATTTTTATTTTTTTTTTAACATGGTTAGTATAATATGTTTTCAAAACAAAAACATATTATATTTTATTTCTCAAGGACATGAAAGCAGAGTTGGAAAATTGGTGGATGGATTGACAAAGAGGGTAAATAAAGAAATAAAAACTTATTCTCAACACAATTTTTTGTCTTCACATTTTTTTCAAAAAAAAAAAAAAACTGTTACCAACTGTACTTTTATTTTTTATTTTTAATTTTTAAAAAAAAAACAAAAAACTTTAAATTTAAAACAAAAAATATATTACCAAACTTGCCTGCATCAACACAATTATTTAATTTTAAAAAATGCTTGAAACTCTTATAACAAAATCAATTTGATTTATAATAATTTCGTATGTTAAATGTCAGTTTTTAATTTATTATCCATCTAACTATATAGAAAATAATCGTCTCCAACATTTGATCCAAAGAACACAAAATATGACTTGTTTGGTTTGGCATAATTTACAAAAGTTAAAAAGTCAAAAAATTACTAAAAAAAGTCAAAAAGTTCTTACGATTTGGAAGAAGCTTGTGGGAGAAACGTAGAGTACAAAATTATTATTTTGCTCTTTGAATTCAACTATCTAAAAGTCAAAAAATCAACAAGGATAGAATGGTTATTTTGATTTTATTACACATTCTTTCGTAAAAAAATTAAAAAATTATCCCAAATATATATATTTTTTTCTCTATTTTTTTAATCAAAAAATTAAAAAATATATTTATATAGCACATCTCAAACAATCAATAACTATTGATATTTGCACCCGTTGGATGAAAAGAATCCTGTCTAGCACTTGATCTAAGGATACAAAATATGATGATGAAAGATCTTTGTGACCTTTGAATAAAAAGTCGGAAGGTGGCGGGTGAAAACAAAATAGAAAGAATCCAAATCCCAACCCGATTGAGAAATTAATGCTAGGGTTAAATTCACAATGATGTGATATGTCAATTTTTTTATTTATTACATACAATTAGATAAGAATCCATTCATAAATGTTAGAATAAAGATTAGAGATGCAGCATTTAAATTCATAAATTCATTTATAATAAGAATTTATAAATTATTTAGAATGATTTAAATAAATATATATTTTTAATTTTTTATAAAAATATATATAAAAAAGTATAAAGATAATATAATTCAAATAAGTACATTTATTTAGAGGATGCCAAATAAGCTCTTAGTGCGTGACAAATCAAACATTGACACATATTATGCCACATTATTGTAGATCTAATTAGAACAATTATTTAACCAAGAGTATTGCTATTCAAGACAAAAAAATTAACAGTTCTACTACACGCACCAATTGATATATCAATTAGTATACCAATATATGTTATGACATCACTACTTCAAAATTATAAACCCCACCCATTATACAAACTACACAGACTCAAAGCACCTAAATGAAAATGAAAAGAATCCAAATCCCAATCCCAATCTCAATCCAAGTCCATTAAGGTATGATGATGGCTAAGATCTTTGCAACCTTTGAATAAAATGTCAGAAGATGGCGGGTGAAAAAAAATGAAAAGAATCCAAATCCCAGCACGATTGAGAAATTAATGCTAGGATTCCACAATTTAAATTCACTATGATGTGATATGTCAATTTTTTTTTTATTTATTACATACAATTAGATAAGAATTCATTCATAAATGTTAGAATAAAGATTAGAGATGCACCATTTAAATTCACTTATAATGAGAATTTATATATTGTTTAGAATGATTTAAATAAATAAATATTTTTTATTTTTTTATAAAAATATATATAAAAAATAAGAAAGATAATATAATTCAAATAAGTACATTTATTTAGAGGATGCCAAACAAGCTCTTAGTCCGTGACAAATCAAACATTGACACATATTATGCCACATTATTGTAGATCTAATTAGAGCAATTATTTAACCAAGAGTATTGCTATTCAAGACAAAAAAAATTAACAGTTCTACTACACGCACCAATTGGTATATCAATTAATATACCAATATATGTTATGACATCACTACTTCAAAACTATAGACCCCACCCATTATACAAACTACACAGACTCAAAGCTTCTAAAATTATGTCACATAATCCATTAAAACCAATTAGTGTGTATAGCCTTATTAAAAAATTTAATTTAATTTTCAAGTCCAATGATGTGACAATCAATTAAAATATTAAAAGCAAGACTCTCTCTCATATATTTTCTAATTATCAATCAATATATAACTTACACATAAAAAATGGATTTACAAAAAAAGTGAACTTATCATTTTTCTTTACGCTGAGTTTGATTGAAGAATTTAAGAAATGATTTGAAAATGAAAAGAAAAAAGATAGGTAAAATATAAATAAAAATATTTATATTTTATATAATTATATATATATATATATATATTTTAAAAAAATTTCTTCTCAAATCTTCTAACCAAACAGAGTATTAAGCAAACTCAATGTCCCATTATTATAAATATAAATAAATTTATAAATATAAATTATGAATGTCAAGATTTCTCGTTAAAGTAACCAATCAGAGGATATATAAATTTGTAGATAAATGAAGCCCAGCATGTATGTTCTTCCCATCAACCCTTCTTCACATTGGAGAGAGAGCAGAGCATCACGAAGATCTCTGAAATTAAGCGTAAGTTACAGAAACGAATATCTCTCTGAAATTAAGTGTCAGTTATAGAAAACAAAATCTCTTTTCTCTCTCATCTTTTCTTCTTCACATACACATCTACATCTACATCTGAAATTAAGTTTCTGTTTTGTTTTTCCTTTCCTTGTGTTTGGTTCTAGGGAAAGCAAAGGAAAATGGCTTGTTCATCATCAAGTAAGGTCATAATGGAGAAAGAGGAGAGGCCACATGTTTTAGCTGTTGATGACAGTTTGGTTGATAGAAAACTCATTGAAAGGCTTCTCATCAACTCTGCATGCAAAGGTATTTCTTTTTTCACTTGTGATTGTTTTTCTTTGCTCATTTTTTTTCTTTTTTCTTTTTAATTTGTTTTTTATGATTGATCCAATTTTTAATCTTAAAAGAAATAAAATTTGACGTCTATTTTATCTGTTTTATAATGGGATGGTCTTGTTTGGAAAGTGGTTTGACTTTGTAGCTATTTTTAGTTTGGTGCTAAAAAGTTCGTTTGTATTGGATTTTTTAATTTTTTTGACTTTTACGAAAAAAGTGAAATGATTATATTTAGATATGATATTTTATCTTATTAATTTTTTTTAATTAATTAATTTATTTTTGACTAAATTAACTCCTAATCTGGGGAGAGAAAAAAAATGAGGGCTAAGGCTTATATGTAAGAATTTTTCCTAAATATGGCTTAATGTGGCTTATACATGATTATACTAGATTCATCTTATTAAGCAAGATACATGTACATCAATTAGATGGTGACTAATCATTAATGGCCTTTTGAAATTTTGATTTTTTAATTATTTTAATAAATTAATTTTTTAATTTTTTAGTTATTTTAATAAAAATTCTCGTTTGGGATGAGTTTTTTTTGACTTTTTTAATTTTTTTGAGAGAAAAAAGAAAATGATTATGGGTTTCAATATGACATTTTGTCTTATTAACTTTCTAATTTATTTTGTCTTTCTAAGATATTTTTTCTTCTTCGATTTTCACTTTTTGGAAATAATTTTTTAAATTTTCTATTCATATTTTTATATTTGTAATGAATTTTTAAAATATTTTAAATAATTTTTTTAAAATTTTTAGATTTACTTAATCTTAATATACTCAAAAAGTAAAAACATTTGTATAAAAAATTTTAAAATATTCAGTGAATATAATAAAATATAAAAATGTATTAAATTTTCGTATTTTTTTTTTATGTTTTTTGTATTTGGTGAATTTTTTTTTAAAAAAATCACAAATATTATATATGTTAAGTGTATTTTGATTAGGTATATCTAAAAAAATAAAAAAATTGTATAAAATATTAAAAAAATTTACTAAAAAAAAAACACGAAAAACAAAATATAGACTTAATTTTCCGGAACCAAACATGGTGAAATCTTCCGCTATTGCAATATCTTTTAATTCATAAATAACTTTATATGAGGAACTAGTGGACTCAATCACACACCTTTAACTCTTTAGTTTTAGTTTTCTAATAATTTTGATCCATGCTAAAGTCAATTCCCTAGTTACATTTCAGTGTATAGTTGTGGTGGATTTTAATAGCTCTGTTTGACTTTGATATAGAACATGGTTATGATTGTAATGCAGTAACTACAGTAGAGAATGGGCAAAGGGCCTTGGAATTTCTGGGCTTAGGAGACGGACAACACTCCATCAACAGTAGTGTAAGTATTCCTTCATAAACCTATTACAATATATGTATGTCTAGTAAACTATCTTAACATCTAATTACATTCAACAGTATTAAAAAAGAAAATGCATCATTGGAGGATATAAAATCTCGGAGAGAAATCCTCTATCCCCATATCTCAAATCCAAAAAATTATTGATTGTCATGAATCATAATGTTAGAAATGAATTTAACGCCACTCATTTGTGTAGGTCTACATAGCTATCACATAAAAACATGAAATTTGATTAATTTGTAGCATTGTCACATTAAATAGTTACTCCAACTCTCTCTCCCTCACACGATGCGCCAAGATAATTAATTAGAACTTTACACATCATGCGTGATGAGGAGAGTGTTTTTAAGACTCGGATACATGAAAAATCAAGGCAGAAGATTCATTCCCAAAAACCACATTCATTTCAAATAGTTCTTTTTGGAAAATATTTCCACTTGTGGAAAATGATTTAAGGCAAATGAACACTGTTCTTGCACTATAATTTTCTACAGTGTACACTAGAAATTAATTTTCAACATTACATGTCTCTTGGAGAAGATGTTGAGTGTATTTGACATTGACAATTTTTGCAGGACTCTAAAGTAAATTTGATAATTACTGATTATAGTATGCCTGGAATGTCTGGATATGAGCTACTTAAAAAAGTCAAGGTAATATAATAATATAACCCCTATTAAACATTCACCAATTAATCAACAACTCACATTGATTAAGCATCTGTGAGTATGTTACAATGCTTAGAACCCTATGATTTGCCAAGTAAAAATCTTTTTTTTTATTTTTTTTCCTGGATGAAAGGAATCATCGGACTTGAAAGAGATACCAGTAGTGATAGTGTCATCTGAGAATATCCAGACTCGAATCAAGAAGTAATCACTCACTCTTACACTCATCCTATTTTAGCACACTTATTAGTTATTAATTTTAATTTGTCATTTTCTATAAGTTGCCCGTGTATTAATTCACTTCAATTTTGTTGGCATGAACAGATGCTTGGAAGAAGGAGCTCAGGAGTTCATGTTGAAACCTCTCCGACAATCAGGTGTGGAGAAGTTGATATCTGACATGATGAAATTCAGGGGAGGCTATGCATGGGAAGGTAAATGAAGCACACCATATCAGAGAGAAAGAGATGTCACATTATGGTAGCATTTCTTTTCAAGGGGCTTTGGAGATAAGAGGGATGATCCGGACTCTTGTTATGACAATTAGGTGCCTCTACAGCCGTCTGCTTTTATTTTTTGTTTTAGTTTTGAGTTGGTAGTGGAATATTTGCTGGACTTTTGTGCAGAGTCACAAATCAATGTGGAGATTGGGCATTGCAAGAAGAGGCTCTTATTCATTTCCAATTCTCTTTTTAATAATTCCTCCATTTCTACTTTTAAAAGAAGGCATGGTTCGACTTGAATTTTTCCGAACCCAAAACAAATTTTAAAAATGGGACCCTTTAAGCATTGATTAAGTTTTCATTTTGATTAGGTTCTTCATTCACAAAATTTTTAAATTTTTTCATTAATATGTTCTTCATTATCAACTGATGAATTTGAACTTTATGTGTATTTTGCTACTAAAAAATTTATTTAGAGCTCCCGCTTGCTATTGAATTAATTTTTATACTTTTTACTTCTTTTTCTTTAATATACTTTTTAGGAACCACGATTGTAAAATTCAACTCCCAGATATTATCTAAAATTCAATAGAAATTCAATCCATAATCCAAAGAGCACCCACAGAAATTCATGAACAATTGAAGAGAGTATATGATCCAAACAAAACTAAAGCATGACAAAGTTTGAATTAAATAAAAATGAACAAAATTATAAATTAGAATAAAAAATGAAGGCAACAAAATTAGATTAAAGGCATAAATCAAAATTAATAGCGAAGTCCTCAAATAAATAAATAAAAAAAAATGAATTCAATAATTATAATAAAAAAATACTAGATTAATAAGTAAAGTTCCCAAATTATAAAAGAGCAATAAATTTTAAAAGGTAAATAGGGCACAAAAATTAAATTCAAGGGACACCTTCGGGAAAAATGTTATGAACCCCACCTCACAAATCTCAAATGTATCCCGTATGAGAATTGTCGGGTTGATATTGAATTTATGTAGCATAGGGTCCGTGTGTTGCACTAGAAATCAAATTGATAAGATTTTGTTATTTACAAACTTGACCCAATACATTCTATAGTAAGATTTGGACTCTCAAAATTTTATTTTATTGTATTTTTTTGGGGTAGGGGTTGTCTTTATGTGTCCTGTTGTGAAATAAATGGTATTTGTCTAGGCTATGCTTCAATGTTGAGTTACTAATATTACACGAATTAAAAAAAAAAAAAGTGAGGCACTCGAAGTGTCAGTAAAAATCTTTAGCATTGATGTTGTAGTAGCACTTAAAAGTGTCACTAAAGTGCTATTAGTATTACCAGGGCATGTGTATCAATGACACTTGTTGAAAACGTTACAAGATTAAAAAAATGTCATTAAAAGAATTATTTTGTGACACTTTCAGGTCATTAAACTAAGAATCTGTTGTATTGTATATATAATAATGTGTCTAAGTTGTGAATTGTGGTGATTTGTGCTAAAATTGACAGTTCTGATGAGTTACAATTAGGAATTTTGATTCATGATAATTTGCGATAAAATTATAATTTTGATTATGGACTTTCATATTTTTTTTGAAGCAATCTTGGAGAAATACTTCAAAAAGAAAATCAAAGTTAAAATTATCTCTTCTTAAAAAAAAAAAAAAAGAAGGTAAATTACATTTAACTTCATGTGGTTTACCGAAAAAACAGAGCCCCTGTAGTTTCACTTAAAATTCCTACACTTAATACCAAACTGTAATTTCTAACATATCCGTTTGTTTGAACACAATGTGAGTTTTACAAGCATAAAGGGAACACTTTCTCCCGTAAAACCATTCTATAAATATGCAACACCATCACCTTCCATGCAAAACCACCACCATCACCTTTTATTTCTCCTTTTAACTCACCACCATCACCTTCCATGCAAAACCATAACCAATCAACATCACCACTAGCACCAATACCATTTCTGCGCTCTACAAAATAGTTTAAACTCAATTTCTCTTTTCTCCTTGTATTTCTTATCACCACCACTTCTCTCTAAAAATTATCCAAACCCACTTTCTCTATTTTCTTTAGTTTTGTTTCTCTCTCATCACACCATCACTACCTATTACCAACAAACACCATCACTATTTGCATTTGTTTTTTGATTCAAATTAGTAACATACCAAACCCATGGAGTCAAACAATTAACAGGTGTAAGCGTTTAGATTTTTGAGATAGCATTGATGGGATTCAAACCAACAAAACCCACTTTATCTTCTCCAAACCACATGCACGAATAGACCCGAAAATATCATATTTTCAAATTCAAACGCACCACTTCAAACCCTTATATCTCCTTTTTCGTAACTCTGTTTTGCCTTATTTTTGCATTGTTAGATTCACCTTACTGCCTAGTTTTCGTATCACTCCTCACAAGCCTTGTTCTGCTTCTTTTTGCGTACTATCGGAGCTCTGAAAATTGACCAAAAATAAGATTTTTCTTTCCATTTCTGACATTTCTTTGGCCCATCTTTGGGACTCTATAATTTTCTCAATTCTTAATGGTTTTACCTTGTTCTTTCACCAATCTCTTCACCTTGTTTTGTACTTCATTCTACGCCACCTCATTTTCTCACTTCTTCCTGAAATGGGTGGTTTTGACATACTGAAAGTTTTTCGAAACCAACTTCATACATGCCAAATAAATATTTCCAAATCTATTTCTTTCTTTTCATCATCCTCCATCTTCTACTGCTTCATCTATTGCACTTTGTGAAGGGTGGTTCTTTGTTTTGATGAAGCTGGGCGATGGTGGTCGTGATGGTCTAACGGTGACAACGGAACTTGCGGTGATGGTAGTCGTGGAGCTTGAGGTAGTGGTGATGGAACTTGGTTGTGAAAATGGGTGAAGAAGGTGGGTTTGGTGTTGAAATGTGGTGGGTGGTGCTCATGGTGAGAGAGAAGATAGAGAGAGAGAGATACGAAGACTGTATAAGTCAAATGAAATTGTTGAGTGTAAAATATTTAGGGGCATTTATGACTTTTTATTACTTTCCGAAATTACAGTTTGGTATTAAGTACAGAGGGATTCCGTATTTTTTGGATAAACCATAAGGGTTAAAGTGTAATTCACCAAAATAAATAAATTCAAACTAATCAGGTCAATTACAAAAGTTTGCAATTGAAATGAATATTTAAATTTTTGGATTGAGTTTCTCTCATATTGGAATCTCAGCATGATAGAACCTGAAGGGCTCGTAGGTCCCAACATAGGTCTCGCTTCAATAATCTAAACTGTTTATTTTGTAGAGCCCACCATATATAATATTCATGAAAAGTTTTAGAGTGATCTGATAATCATAATATTTTTATTTTATCACATTTGTCTATAAAAAAATGAATAGTCTATTTCAAAAGTATATTTGGCGTCCATTTTTCGAACATAAATATAATAAATTTAAAAAGTTATGATTATTTAATCGAACTAATTTTTTTTATGAATACTATACTTTCAGGTTTTACAAAATAAATAGTTTGAATCATTGAAACGAAACCTGCCCTATAAATCCCTCAAATTGTGTCATGCAAGATCTCAACATGAGTAGCTGAAAAAATTATTATTACTATACATCTTCTTATTGTTGACCAGAGGAAGAAAAAAATTGAGTTTCTATTTAATAAGCCCAAATGTTACAGGTTCTTTGGTTACAAAACCAGCCCGTGATGTCACTACGAATCACTTCCTTTCCGATGTACCTAAAGATAAAAAATAAAAATTGTCACTACCAATCACAGTTGCGCATCCGTAGGTTCAATTAGCGATTTGGGTAGGCTTAACTTGAACAACTTTTTTGCACCACCAAGTGTCTCTAGATGAAAACCCTACTCCCTTCAATTCTCCAAAAACTCATTTTGCTACTTTTTTTTAACTCAACTAGACATCTCACACCACATAATGTTAGTTTCCCCATTTGAAATCCATTGTCTTTCCTTGATCATCCTAGTTCCAAAGAGTACTAAATTTTCATTTTTCAAGCTCCGTACCTAGTTCCCCTTCTATTTTTAATTTATATTCTATCTCCTAATACATATATCTAATACCGTTAATTTATATTGCGAAATTAAGTTCTTATTACTATTATTTACAATCTCATACATATTCGTCTACCAACCTTTATAGAAAGAAAAAATATATATATATATATATATATTTTACTAACATTTTCTTCTACTTTTGAATGTTACTTAATTATCTATCCCTCTTTTTAAAACAAATGCTTGCTATTAAACGGTACAAAATTATATGCCATTACAAATTATATGATTGCATATGTATTACCTCCATCATTTCTCATTCTAATATTTGATCCATTATGGCTGTGTTTGGTTAAAAGATTTGATGAGGGAAATGGAGAGGGAAAGAAAATAGAAAGAAAATGAGAAAGAATTGATAGGATTCGAATTCCAAATTATGTTTGGTCGAGTTGCGAAATGGAGAAAGAAAGGAGCCTAAGTGAACCAAAAACACAAAGAGTGACTTTCTTTTCCATTGTGTTTTCCACTTTAACCAAACAAAGAGTGGGATTGCATTTCCTTTTCCCTTTCCATTTCTCACACCAAATCCTCCAACCAAACATAGCCTATATCCATCCCTTTTTTCCCATTACTGCTCCGATATTCCATATAACCAAGCACATGCTATTCTCTTTGACTAACTTCTGCACTTGGCTATTAAAGTGTAGGAACTGTTGCCTACTTCTCACTGCATCTTGGCTCTAACATACTGCAACTCTAGCCCTCCCTATTTGCCGAGAGAGAGAGAGAGAGAGAATGAAAAATGAAAGAAAAAAAAAAAACTTAAATACATTGATGAGCTCGAGTCAATAGCCATTAAATTCAGATTTACATCCTTTCCTCCCTAGTGACAATCTTGATAGAAACAACTCTTGCTCAGGCTTATGTTGTTTAAAACATACAAGCTGGAAATTCTTCAGTAGATTGTACAGTTTACACTATGAAAGTAAACAATATTTTTTGTTGTTTTTCCAGCAGAGAAAAATCAATATTATTTTGAATGACCATCTTACAAGCGCAACACATTTCTTTGCTTTACTTTTTATTTCTTTCAGGGAAAAAAACCAAACTCATTGTTCAATAGTTTTTTCCTTGCATGCACAAATGCCACACAACTATGATCTAGTAATAAGAAATGTAAGCAATTTAAAAACAAAAAATGTTGAGATCTTTCTGTCTGTTACTAATGACCTCTTCATATGATATAATGCAATGAAGTTCTTGCATTATAAGTTCATAAGTAAATATTGACAAACTGAGCAGCTAATATTCTGACTTTACCTTATCAGCATGAGATCAATATTTGAACGATACAACAATGAGCAGGAGAATCATCAGCTTTTGAGTCCTACTTCAGAAGCCAAGGTATTCTTTCATGAGCAACTCACCTATTACCCTGCAAGCTTCCTGCATTAGTACAGGATATTCAATTAGGTTTTGTTTTTGAATATGTTGATTTAAAAGCTACAATTTTTTGACAGACAGTTCTAATTTTATAGAACTCTTACCATCCAATGGATAGTCACACACTTAACAGAAAATGAAACTCATACTAGAATCACTTAAAGTTATAAATTACATCAAATTGATACATGTTTTCCTCTTTTTCTATTTTGATGGGAGAAAGTGTTAGGGAATCCATAACATCTAACCAAGATGGGTGAAGTGAAAACACATAAATGAACAAACGCACAAGAAAGATACATCACATGCACACACGAAGAATACAAGATTTACATAGTTCACCCCAATCTAGGGCTACCTTCACAACTATTACAATTTTCACTATGATCAGAAAGGTTACAAGAGATTACAAGAAATAGTTGTCTTCCCTCAACTACAATACATAGAAAATTAGGGGAACATGTCACAAGTGTGGAAAGGCATGAGTGGTTAGTGTTCAATACTTGTCAACTAAGAAGCCCGGAACACTACTAATAAGGTCACGGACACACACTCCTAAAACACATCTGACCCTCTTTTTCAATGTCCATAATGTCCGATACTCTTTTTCATTGTCCATAATTAAAAATTAAAAAAAAAAATCTTAATTTCAGACACGAACCAAACATTCATTTTGCTTTCCATTACTTCTTAGCCATGTCTATCACTAAAAAATAAATATGAGACCAACACTTCTTGGGAATTTTCTAACACGTGATTTTCAAAATTTGAGAATTTGACATAAATATTTTATACCCTTAAAAAAATGTATAGTTATTAAGAATATATCTTATAGAAGTTTCACATAAAATCAAATGAAAAATCAAAAAGATACGTACATGTATTAGCAAATTACATAGGAAGATATGGGAAATGTTGCAATTATATATGTTTGTTGTAGTTTGTTTGATTTTTAACTATTATAATCCAGTAGTCTACAAATTCATGTAAGACAATTAGATACAAGATTTACTTAGTATCTATTATTAAGTGAAGGCCTCATTTGGTACATGAAGCCTTTGCTCTCCTCATGTCACGTGGCAGTATTTTTTTATTTTTTTTAAAAAAAAGATACAGAAAGAGGTGGGAAAGGCTTGAACCCATGACCATGGGATTAAGGCAAGAGGACTCATACCACTTAAGTTAGGTAAACATTATAATATTAATTTCATTATTATTTTTCTTTTATTCTTACTTATTTGAATTGCACATGTCACCCGCTAGTAAAGTAATTTTTAATTTTGTATATATCATGAACATATATAAACTATACAATATAATATGTTCCCAGATAATATAATGTCAAGATATAATTATTTGTGGCTTGTCTGAACTATATCCATGTCCTACTTTTTTAGAATTCGCCGTTAACGTATCCGTGTCATGTCATGTCTTATTTGTGTCCCATGTCCATGTCTATGCTTCATAGCTTATCAAGATCCACACTACCCCAATAGAAAGGCAGGAGTAAGGTGTTCAAACCCTTCAAAAGTCTAAGAATTCCTTATAAAAAAAAATATAAAAAAAAAAGAACATCAATAAAAGAAAACAAAGGTAATTTTTTTGACAGATTGCTTAAGTCAGGCCTATCACATTTGCTTTTCAATTTTTTGAAATTTCTAGCTTTGGCAAAGGGAGGCAGAAAGCTTAAGGCAACAGTTAAACTACTTGCAAGAAAGCCACAGGTATAATCACCTTTTTCTTTGTCTTATTTTCAATAAATATGATCACACATAAAATGTGTGATCAATGATCACATGTAAACCATAAAATTGCCAAAATTGTATTACATTGCATGTGCAAAAACAAAATATTATATGCTTATTATACATTTTTAACATGTCAATATCAAACCACATTTATGCTTAGTTGCAGTATGATGTAGTACAGCTTCAGAAAACTTGGAATACTGCAATCTACAATTGGAATTTATTGTGGGTTTGGGACAACGAAAGCTTCTACGTATAGGGTCTACAAAGGTAGAAGAAAGGTTGCATAATATGGGTGTAGACACAAATTTTAAAACATGAAGTGTTTCAACACATTTCAAAATTTATGTTACAAATGTCCACTGTTTAGTTTTTGGACTAAACAGTGTTGATTATTTGAATAGCAGGTTCTTATTTCCGATCTGTATTTTCAGATCGTTAATTACACATTTTATACAAATGAAACCTCCGATTAATGAAGAATAAAATAAACAACAAAAGACAATTTAAGAAAAATAAATATTTTATTGAAATTGTTATGGGTTTTGAACCCTCGAATACAAAATACAATTCTTGGGTTTGGAACCCTTTACCTATTCATCGCCATTAGCGTAGGCTCTTGAGTTCTCTAGGCTTCTCTTCTTCTTTCTTGTAACGATTTCTTTAGTTCTCAATTTCTTTCT